AGACGAGGTTTTACCATGTTGGCCAGGCTGGTCTTGAACTCCTTACCTCAGGTGATCTGCCCGCCTCAGCCTCCCAAAGTGCTGGGATTACAGGTGTGAGCCACTGTGCCAGCCTGGAGCATTACTTTTACACAAATTCCAGATTCTGTTTGTGTTTTAACGATTTTTCTATTCATGTCCTCATTCTGTTTCAGGATCCAATTCAGGGTAACATATTGCACTTGGTGGTCATCTCTTTTAGCCTTCTCTGGTCTTTGGCAGTTTCTCAGTCTTTCCTTGTTTTCACGACCTTGACAATATTGAGGAGTGCTAGTCAGTTGTTCTGTAGACTATCCTTCCTTTGGCTTTCTCTGATGTTTTTCTCATGATTAGTCAAGAGTTAATGTGTTTCTGGAAAGAATTCCATAGAATACCGTATCATATCAGAGGTTTTGTGATATCCATGTGACATCATTAGTGATACTGACCCCGATCACTTGGTTAAGTTAGTGTTTGCTAGGTTAAGTATTGAAGTTAGTGTTATTCCCTTTCCATAGCTGTTCTTCTGAAAATGAGTAGCCAGGTCTTGCATACCCCCAAAGTGAGTGAAGAGCTTAAATTCCACTTCCTGGAAGTAAGGGTTTCTATATATATTTGGGATTTTGTAAGGAAGATTTGTCTCTTCCCGCCCATTGATTTCTTTACTCAACTATTTATATTTTATGGACTAGTGTGTATGTAAGTGTGTATTGACTTATGTATATTAATTCTGTACTTTGAGATTTTGTAATCTAGTAATCTATTTTTTTTCCCTCGAATAATTCCAGCTTTGACTATTGGGAGCTCTTTCTGGTTGGCTCCTGTGTCCCTTTGACATGCCTCTATCTTTTTAATTTTTTTTTTCTTTTGGAGCACTTTTTTATTCTCTGGTACTTTAAGATGCTCCAGACTCACCTATTATTTTCTCTGCCCCAACCCTAGAATTAGAGATTTCTCCAAAGAGTTCTGGTTCGTTTTACTTGGTAGAAACCAAGATCTGGGTACTCTGCTGTCTGCTCCTTGCTAGTGGTGTGTCAGTGTTTCTAGGCCCTCTCAACCAAAACAGCTAGGTAATATATATATGTATTTTAAAGGATAATGGTGCATGATTATTCATTTATACTTTATTTTAATTTTTTTAGTTGACAGTAATCACCAATTGTATTGACCTCTATCAGACAGATTCTATTCACTCTTTTATGCACAATTTCTTACATCAATTGCTAAATTACAAGGAAGGCGCTGCTTCAAGATAACTAGAAGTGTTAGCTTGATCACAAGGTTGAGAAAAGAAAGCTGTAAAACATAAAGCCAGCCTGAGCAACATAGAGAGACCTCATCTCTAGGAAAATAAAAAAAAAATTAGCAGGTAGTGATGGTGCATGCCTGTGATCCAGCTATTAGGAGGCAGAGGTGGGAGGATTGCTTGGGCCTAGGAGGTCAAGGCAGCAGTGAGCTGTGTTTGTGCCACTGGACTCCAGCCTGGGCGACAGAGTGAGACCCTGTCTGAAAAAGAAAAGAAAAATCTCTATGCAGTAAATAAAAATATTTTTACACTTTAAAGGACTGCCTACAAATTTTGAGCAATGTTTAATATGGAAGATTCCTCCAAACCTATGCATAGTCCCCTTAAATATCACCAAATAACATAATTTGTTTAATAATGAATCTGCTTTCCATAGGATAAAAAGGAATAGATTGCTTATACACCCAGAGAAGCAGTTTGTTTTAGACATGAGAGGAGGGCTCTAACCTTACGTAGGCTTTTTTTTTTTTTTGGAGACAGAGTTTTGCTCTTGTGCCCAGGCTGGTGTGCAGTGGTGCAGTCTCTGCAACCTCCGCCTCCCAGGTTCAAGTGATTCTCTTGCCTCAGCCTCCTCAGTAGCTGGGACTACAGGTGTGTACCATCATGCCTGGCTAATTTTTGTAATTTTAGTAGATAGGGTTTTGCCATGTTGGCCAGGCTGGTTTCGAACTCCTGTCCTCAAGTGATCCACTCACCTTGGCCTCCCAGAGTGCTGGGATTACAGGCCAACTTAGGCTGCTGTTACACCAAAGGACTGAAATATAGGCTTACGTCTGAAGTCAACTAACATCTCTAAATGACACTGGGATGATGATTGTAATAATATAGTAAAAGACCACGATGGGTGGATCTCCTGAGGTCAGGCTTTTGAGACCAGCCTGGCCACATGGTGAAACCTTGTCTCTACTAATAATATAAAATAATTAAAAAAATTAGCCAGGCAAGGTGGCAGGTGCCTGTAATCCCAGCTTCTAAGGAGGCTGAGGCAGGAGAATCACTTGAATCCAGGAGGTGGAGGTTGCAGTGAACCAAGATGCACCACTGAACTCCAGCCTGGAAAACGAGCGAAACTCCATTGGAAATAATAATAATAATAACAATATAGTAATGATAGCTGTGGTTTACTGAGTGCTTGGTATTTGCCATGAAATCTAGTTAATACTAGTTAATACGAGTACTTACTTGCATAAAGTTATTGGATTTGTTTGATTTTAACCTTTCCAGCCAGCCTTTCTCTTGTTTGGCCACATGGGTCATATTTTTGTTCTTCACTCTTACCTATGTTTTTCAGAGGTCCACACACATGCCTGAAACATTCTCTGATTTTGCCTTTGCTTGGCTAATCCCTATTAATTTCCTTTAGTTTTCAGCCTGAGTATCACTTTCACAGGGAGACCTTTCCTGAATCCCCCCTACCCCAGTCTAGATTAGATTGCTCTGTCATACTATCTCATTGTACTTCACCCCAGGGCTATTGTAGTGCACAACCTGTACTCCACGTCTAGATGAGCATCTAACACCAGATAGCCTCACATTATCTGACAAGCACAATTGTACTTGTGGGGCAGGAGAATAATATGAATATTTGTGGGGAATTTATTATTTTTTTTTTTTGAGGTATGCTCTTGCTCTGTCACCCAGGCTGGAGTGCAGTGGCTCAGTCACGGCTTACTATAGCTTCAACCTCCTGGGTTCAAGCAGTCCTCCCACCTCAGCCTTTTGAGTAGCTGAGACCACAGGTGCATGCCACTACACTTGACTATGGAGGGAATTCTTAACATGTATAAGGCAAAATCTCATTTAATTTTTACAGCAATAATTAGTTGAGTCATGTTAGGCAAGTTACTCTCTCTGCCTCAATTGCCTTGTTATTATTATTATTATTATTTTTTTTTTTTTGAGACAGAGTTTCGCTCTTGTTACCCAGGCTTGAGTGCAATGGCACGATCTCGGCTCACCGCAACCTCCGCCTCCTGGGTTCCGGCAATTCTGCCTCCGCCTCCGGAGCAGCTGGGATTACAGGCACGCGCCACCGTGCCCAGCTAATTTTTTGTATTTTTAGTAGAGACGGGGATTCACCATGTTGACCAGGATGGTCTCGATCTCTTGACCTCGTAATCCACCCGCCTTGGCCTCCCAAAGTGCTGGGATTACAGGCTTGAGCCACCGCGCCCGGCCAATTGCCTTATTATTAAACAGGGATAATAATATCAACTTTGGAGTTTTAAGGATTAAATGAGTAAATACATATGAAGTGCTTAGGATAGTGCCTAGCACGTAATATGTGCTCAAGAAGTCTGTGAAAAATAGATGAATAAAACTGAGGACCTGCTAGTTTGTGGCAGAGCAAGGTTTGCAACTCAATCTGTCTACCTTCGGAGCTCAACTTGACTCCAGGTTTACACTAAATTTAATCTCAAGTGGAGCTTTCTACAGTTTTACTTCAAGCAGCTGTTGTACTGCCGTGGCTTTGCCAAAGTGAAAGATCCTAAAAATGAAATGACCCTCTTTTAGTGGCTCTTATAATAAAAAAGTAACTAACTAGGAAAACAGTGGCAAAAATTTTAGAAAATTTCAAAATAATTTTACTGAGTGATTTTTTTCACTTTGAAAAAGGATTTACTTCAGAATTGTATTACATATATCTTGTTTTCTCAACACATTTGAAATACATATTCTACAAAATTTTCTTTATAAGACCAGGTTCAGTGGCTCACGCCTGTAATCCCAGCCCTTTGGGAGGCTAAGGCAGGTAGTTCACTTGAGTCTAGGAGTTTAAAACCAGCCTGGGCAAGATGGTGAGACCCCCCCATCTCTACACAAAGTAAAAAAGTTAGCTGGGCATGGTGGGGCAGACCTGTTGTCCCAGCCACATGAGACACTGAGGCAGGAGGATTGCCAGAACCCAGGAGGTCAAAGCTGCAGTAAGCCATGTTCATGCCACTGCACTCCAGCCTCAGTAACAAAGCAAGACCCCGTCTCAAAAAAACACACACAAAAAGATACATTTATTATATATTTAAGACTTCTTGCTGGGTGGGGTGGCTCATGCCTATAATATCAATACTTTGGGAGGCTGAGACAGGAGGATTGCTTGAGCCTGAGAGTTCGAGACTAGCTTGGACCACATAGTGAGACCCTGTCTCTACAAAAAATTTAAAAAATTAGACAGATGTGGTGGAGCATGGGCCAGTAGTCCTAGCTACTCAGGAGGCTGAGGCAGGAGGCTTACTTGAGCCTGGGAGGTTGAGGCTAGAGTGAACGGTGATTGTACCACCATTCTCCAGCCTGGGCAGTGAGCAAGACCCTGTCTCAAAAAACGAAAAGACTTCTGTGACTTGATGAAATGGTGCCATTTTAGAAATTTTACACTAGAGTACGAAGTACTATACTCATTGCTGGGATAATGAATAAGACTCAGTTCCTTCTTTCAAAGTAGATATTGTGTGCACAAAAAATGTTACGAGGGAAAGTGAAGTGTAGCCTATGGGATGAGTCCATACTCATCTCATACAGATGATCCAGCTTCAAGGCTCTGAGTGGGAATTTTAGTTTTAAAGCGTTTAAAAGCATTATTTATCATCTAAATGAGAGCTAAATAAAGAAAAAGTAAATGAAAAATTAATATAAAAATGCAAATAAAATAAAAACATTATTATAAAAGACAATGAAGCTCATTATTAAAAATCAGAAGGCATGGATGGGTATTCAAGTAAAAAGTAAAAGTTTTTATTTTTTTAAAAATTTCTTTGCTTAACCCTTAGACACAGTTCTCAGAAGTAGACATGGTTAACAATTTTCTACAGATCCTTCCAGAAAATGTTTATGTGTATTCAAACATGTACAATGTTGTCCTAGTTTCCTACGGCTGCTGTAACAAATGACCGCAAACTTGGTGGCTTAAAACAACAGAATTTATTCTCTCACAGTCTGGAGGCCAGAAATTCGAAATGAGTCTGTGGACCTACATCAAGATGTCAGTCATCAGGGCCACACTCCCTCCAGAGGCCTTAGGAAAGAATCCGTTCCTTGCCTCTTCCAGCTTCTGATGGCTGCTGGCATTCCTAGGCCTGTGGCCATCTTACTCTACCCTGTTCTAATCTTTCTCTGATCCCTCTTCATATCACTTTCTCCATGGTGTCAAATCTCCCTCTGTCTCAGAAGGATGTATGTGATTGCCTTTAGGACCCACCCAGATAATCCGGGGTAATCTCCCCATCTCAGGATCCTTCATTTAATCACATCTGCAAAGACTGTTTTTCCAAATTAAGTAACATTTACAAGTTCCAGGGATTACAACCTGATCTCTTTGGGGGTCATTATCAGCCTACACAAATGCATATGTAAATGTATATGTGAGGCATATCACATATGTAAACAAAAAAGGAATTAAACTTCACATACTGTCTTGTAAATTTCTTCTTAAAAGTTAATGGATTTCTTCCACATTGGCACATTTGACACTTGAGCAATGATGAGGTTAGAAATCCCCCTGTGCAGTTGAAGCTTCACATATATCTTTGGACTCCCCCAAAACTTAACTAATAGCTTACTGTTGACCAGAAGCCTTATTGATAACACAGTTGTTTAACACATATTTTGTAGGTTTTATGTATTAAATATTATATTCTTGCAGTAAAGTAAGCTAGAGAAAAGCAAACGTTAAGAAAATAAGAAAAAGGAAAAAATAAGAAAATCAGAAAAAGGAAAAAGTGTTTTTTGTCGCTCCATCATTCAGGGTGGAGTGCTGTGGTGCACTCTTGGCTCACTAGTACTGGGCTCAGGCGATCCTTCCACCTCAGCCTCCCAAGTAGCTGGGACTAACAGGCATGCACTGCCATGCCCAGCTAATTTTTTATTTCTTTTTTAGAGACAGGTCTCATTTCGTTGCCCAATAAATAGAAAATATATTTACTACTTATTAAATGGAAGTAGATCATCATAAAGGTCTTCATCCTTGTCATCTTCATGTTGAATAGGCTGAGGAAGAGGCAGGGTTGGTCTTTCTGTCTTAGGGGTGACAAGGGCAGAAGAAAATTCACATGCAAGTCAACCTGTGCAGTTCAAATTCATGTTGTTCAAGGGTCTGTATATATTTACTTCTGTCTTCTATATTATCTTTTGTTTTCTTTAAATATCTGCAAAGCAATTTTTGTATAGATTAATGTCTCATTTTTTGTGTGTGGTAAAAAACAATAGTATAAAATTTGCCATCTTAAACATTTTTAAGTCTACTGTTTAATAGTGTTAAGTATATTCACATTGTTATGAAACAGATCTCCAGAACTTTCTCATCTTGCTAGTCTGAAACTCTAAATATTTCTCTTATCCCCCTCCTGAGCCACCCCCCCACCCTGTCTTTGGTACTACCATTCTACTTTCTGGTTCTATGAATTTATGAATTTGACTGCATGCCTTATAAAAGTGGGATCATACAGTATTTGGCTTTTTTTTTTTGGTGACTGTTAATAGATCTTTTTCTCTAATGTTTAAAATGTTTAATTTACTAATAAGCACAGCACAGGGTATTATCCGTTTGTGTGTGCATGCACACATACACTCACTGTGCTACGTTTATTGCCCTTAACTGAAGTCCTGTGTCAGTAGACTGCTGTATAACAGAAAGTATTGGTCATACCTCTTGTGATAATATTTGTTGGGTACTTATATTGTATCACACACTGGGAGAAAAAGATAATTAAGATACATTCCAGCCCTTGCCCTTGAGACACTCACAATCTGATGAGAAAGGCTGATCTGCAAACAGTCCATCTCCGCTTCGCCCCCATGCTCCGCCCCCACCCCGACCCAAGTGAGGAAACAATACTTGGCAACTTTAGCTTAGGGTTCTCTAAAACCTTCAGAATAAGAGTAACCTGAGTCTGCTCCGTGGTGGAGGAATCTTCATTCCTATTCTTTGGATTCTTAAATTTCTGCTTGAACTCTTGTTCGGGATAGGAGACATTGGTTTACTTACAAATGGTCTTTAACCTTATTACATTGATTCCCATACTGATCTAATGATGGCCTATGGATTTAAGGAGGTGTATTGATTCATCTAAATTAGGTGGAGTAATACAGACTTTAAAAAGCACATATCTTTCCTGTTGGTATGATGGGAGACATAAAATGCAGTCAAACCTTGTAAACTAGGATTCAGGACAAGCTCCTCCTATGAAAAAAGAAAATAAAAACTAGTTGCCAACCTTTGGAGATTGCAGATCCTAAGACAACTCCTTGAAATATTAATGTTGTTTCTACTACAATTTTCTTAAGAAGCCTTTGTATTAAATTATATGACTACACATTACAATTGTGTTGGCATGCAAGATTACATAGACTTGTACATTTGTTTACATTGACTTATAAGTCCATTTTTGAAAGATCACACTTTACACACAAGAAGGGAAGTTTTTTTCTTTTATGGGCTTAGGGTCTCGTTTGGTTGTTCAGGGTGGAGTGCTGTGGTGCAGTCTGGCTCACTGCAGCCTAGTCCTAGCTTGGAATCCTCTCCCACCTCAGCCTCCCGAGTAGCTAGGACTACAGGTGTGCACCACCATGTCCAGCTAATTTTTTTATTTGTTGTACAGATGGGGTCTCACTTTGTTGCCCAGGCCTGTATTTTTCTATTTTACCTTCTGTTACTTTCCTACCTATCTTGTGTCATTGTCCAGGATTCCTCCAGTGTTGTAAAGAAGGAAGTCCATGAATGGGTGAGGTAGAGCATTGTAGGATCTTTTCTGGGCCTTTGAGTTGCCATTTGAAGAACTGCTCGAGCCCAATGGAGTAAGCAGCTTACATATAATGAAGAAATATATATTTACCTCGATTTGGCTGTTACCTGCTTTAATTTTTTTCACCCTTCGAGGAGGGATTAGGACTGTGATAGTGAGAACTGGTCATCTCCTTTGTTTCTGGAATATTACGTGTATTACCACCAAAAAAAGAGGTCCACCCAACTACAGCAGTCTTCCTAGTTGGTCCTTCATTTGTCTCTTACCTTGGAAAGCCTGTGACCTGGAAGCAACGCCTGATGCCTGCAAACCTCTGGGCAAAGATAGCCTGCAGCTCCTTTAAGCTTTCAGTGTGTGCGGAAAGGGGAACTGGAGGGTGGGGCGGGCACTCTGACCGTGGGGCTCTGAGCCCCGCCCTCGGAGGAGGCGTTTCCCAGCGGTCCGCCGCACCAATGCTGCCGCCGCCGCCGCTGCCGCCGCCGCCTCAGCCTGCCTGGTATTCCTGCTGATCGATCCTGCTTGGACCTTAGGTCCCTTGACCTCTCCCTTCCCAGGGAGCGTAAGTGTCAAACTGCGGGCAAGGGGCAAGCATCCCGCGACCGTGTTGGAAGTCCTGGTGGACAGTACTGGGGACTTTCCTGGCCTATCAGAGGCTAAGGCGGTGAAAGAGCGTAAACAATGCCGGCTGCAGTGAGCTAAAGCCAGGGCATCTGCTCTACTTCTGGGTGGTGACAGCAGCCGTAGTGTGCTTGTTTGGGTATGCAGTGGGTGAGCAGTGCCCACGACCTGGGTTTGCCCCAGCCTGATTCTTACTTGGGGTGAGGAGAGGGTTGCTTTTACCAGAGTATTAACCCATTTGAGCTGAATGGGTGGAGCTGAATCTCTTGCTCTGAGCCGGATCCTCAGCCTGGTATTTGAAGACCTTGGTAGCTTTGGGATGAGTAAGCATTAGGTTTTCAGCCACCTTGGTACAGTCGAGCAGTAACTCCGAGTTGCCCTAATTCTCAGCCAGGTTTAGCTTTCTGTCTGTCCAAAGGCCTGTGTTGGTATCCCCTCCCCCTTTTGGATATGTTGACAGTGATCATCTATTAGGAAGAGTCCAGTTAACCTTCTTTCCTGCTGATAGGAAGAGCACAATGTGAGAGATAGCTCTTTACCCCTCTCCCTCTTTGAAGGAATTTGTGGGAGGCCACCATCCCAAGAATAGGAAAGCAAACACAACAAAGTTTGAGATAACCTGCTAGAAAACAGTTCAGATTTCTGGCCCCCTGGCAATGCAGAATACTCTAGCAAGGGGATAACACTTGTCCTTGTGAATGGAAAATACCTGGAGACAGTGAGGTTTTTTTTAATTTGAGAGAAAGTCTTGTCAGTTTTGCCACCTGCTACTCAGAGATGGGATTTTGTCAGATTTTGGCTAAGTAATAAAAATTTTAAATTCTTTATGACAGTTACATAATTGTTATATTTCTTTAATCTAGTTGTCCTTCCTAGACATGGTTTAAGTAGATTTCTGGGCATGTATATGCATTTTTTAAATAATTTTTTTAATGACTCTGTCATGACAGTAATCAAAGGGGTTTTTTTTGATGGAGCAGAATTTTTTTCTCAAATTTCTGTTAGAATCATTCTATGCTTCTGCAGTAGCATCTCCTTAGCCAGAAGTGAGAGTCTAGGAATGGTAATCATAGTTCCAGATCTCTTGTATTGTGATAGTGAAGAACTTTTGTAGGTCAAGAGCTTGGGAATTTGCCTAAAATAGTTGTACTGCCAATGCTTCTTTCTAAGTAGAAAAGAAAATAATCTGTATAGTAGCTCTGTAATTACTCTTATAGACTGTCAAAATACAGGAATTTAAACTAAAAAGACACCACACTTGGGCCCATGGGTTGTAGGGAAGAGATGTAGACTGAGAAGTGGGAGACATAGGTTCTGGGCCCAACTCTAATATTACTCATGACTTAATCTCTCTGTCCCTTATTTTTAACTGGTTGGTTAATGGGGAAATGAATAGATTTGGGGATCTCTTTTATGATGGGATATATAATGCCTATTTAATAGGCGATTTATTTGTTTGAACACTAAACTGAAAAATCAGACAATTTGGAATTTATTCTAAGTTCTACCTTCATGTATAACCTTGAAAACATTTCTTAACCTCTAGTCTAAAAATAAACAATTACCTCTAAACCTTTTCAGCGACAGTGTGGACTATATGGTATTTGAGCTCTTAGGAAGACATTTTTAGATCAATGGTATATGATTATAATATTTCTGTAAAACATATTTATTTTAGCTCGCCTCCTTGCCTTTTCCTTTGTTTTAGACTGGGATAAAATCTCCTGAGAGCCCTGAATAATTGAAATTTCTGAATATGTGTATTTAGTAGGGACTAGAGCAAATAAGCCATAGCAATCATTATATATAGTTCAAATTAATTTTATTAATGCTTTTCTTTGTTGGCAGTTTTGTTTGCTTTTTAGGCATCAAGCTCTACTGTTTAGCAAAAACTTGGTTTCTGCTGTTTGTAAAATTCAGATCAGTCTGTTCATCCCTATATGATATTTTACACAGCAGCTAGACCGTTTAGCATTCACAGCAGCTGGACCATTTGGCATTCAACTTAAAAAATACACAGATCTAATAATTTTTATTGTATTTTACACAGATACCAGTATTCAGTTGATGGGGGTGCTGGGGGAAAGACTGGTCCTGAGTTTGAAAAACACAGTTTGAGCCGAGCACTATGGCTCATGCCTATAATCCCAGCATTTCGGGAGGCCGAGGCGGGCGGATCACAAGGTCAGGAGTTGGAGACCAGCCTGGCCAATATGGTGAAACCCCATCCCTACTAAAAATACAAAAAAATTCGCCGGGCTTGGTGGCACATGCCTGTAATCCCAGCTGCTCAGGAGGCTGAGGCAGAAGAATTGCTTGAACCCGGGAAGCAGAGGTTACAGTGAGCTGAGATCACGCCACTGCACTCCAGCCTGGGTGACAGAGTGAGACTCTATCTCAAAAAAAAAAAAGAAAAGCACAGTTTGATGAACATGTGAGGTGTTTCCAGTTTTTGACTATTACAAAGAACATTGCTATAACTATCCCTGTATAGGTCTTCTGGTGTAGCTTGCATTCGTTTCTAGACTATATAGCTAGGAGTGGGTTTGCTGGATGGTAGGGCATTCTTATCTGATATGCCATATTGTTTTCCAAACTGTTGTACTATTCTGTCTCCTATCATTGCTGTATTTGAGTTCCTGAGATTCTCTAATAAGACTTGGCTCCTTTAAATTACACGGCTGCTGTTTCATGGCCATCCTAGGGATATTGAAGAGAAGTCTTCATGAAAGTTCCTTCCACATATCCTAATAAGCTTTTACAATTCTTTCTCTGGGAATTTTCTTCTTTGTGACGGGAGGGAATAAGACGTGAAGGAAGAAGCATAGACTTTGAATCTTCGTTTGTTTTGGCAGGTTATTTAATCTTTGTGAGCCTAGTATGTAAAATGAGGAGAATATCTTTATTTCATGTAGATGATGTTAGTTACAAAGTCAATTAGCATGTTTAAAAAGTACTTTGCACAGTGCCTGATTCAGAATAGATACTACCAGAGTATTATATATTCAATAAGCAAATATTTATTGAAAACATATTTTATGACGGGCCAGAACTAGGGATGGAGAATTAAGCAGAACCTTGTCTGTGTTATTATAATACTGAAAAATTGGCCAACCTGGGCAACATAGTGACCCCCATTTCTGCAAAAACTAAAAAATTAGTTGAGCATGGTGACACATGCCTATAGTCCCAACTATTTGGGAAGCTGAGGCGAAAGAATTGCTTGAACCCAGGAGGTGCAGGTTGGGAGAATTCCTTGAGCCTGGGAGGTCAAGGTTGTAGTGAGCTGGGATCACACCACTGCACTCCAGCCTGGGTGGCAGAGTGAGACCCTGTCTCAAAAAAGAAAAAAATTGGAAACAATTTAAATGTCCACTAGTAGGGTTGGTAATTATGGTACATTCGTAAAATGGAGTGCGCTGTCGACTTTAAACATCATGTTCTCAAATCTGGGAAAATGTTTGTAATCATGTAAGAAAAATGTTATAAGAGGATTATGCTTCTCTTTTTCATATAATTTATATACTACATGTATATTGAAAAAAAAACTGGAAGGAGTCAGGTGGATACATACTTTAGTGTTCATCATGGTTATTAGGTAGTGGTGAAATTGTGTTTTAATACTTAGTTTTTTCTGTAGTTACTAAATTTTCTGCAGTTAACACACATTAATTTTATAATAAAAAAAGGTGTTATCTAGATAGATAGCATAGGTGTGGTGGCTCACAGTTGGTGGGATTGCTTGAGCCCAGGCATTCGAGACCAGTCTGGGCAATATAACGAGACCTTGTCTCTACAAAAAATTCAAAAATTAGGCTGGGTGCAGTGGCTCACTCCTATAATCCCAGCACTTTGGGAGGCCGAGGCGGGTCACGAGGTCAAGAGATCGAGACCATCCTGGTCAAGAAGGTGAAACGCCGTCTCTACGAAAAATACAAAAAAAAAATTAGCTGAGCATGGTGGTGCACACCTGTAGTCCCAGCTACTCAGGAGGCTGAGGCAGGAGAACTGCTTGAACCCAGAAGGAGGAGGTTGCAGTGAGCCAAGATCGTGCCATTGCACTCCAGTCTGGGTAACAACAGTGAAACTCCATCTCAAAAATAAAAATAAAAATTAGTCGAGCATGGTGGTGCACACCTGCAGTCCTAGCAACTCCTAGCTATTCAGGAGGCAGAGGTGGAAGGATCTCTTGAGCCTGGGAGGCAGAGGTTGCAGTGAGCTGAGATTATGTTATTCCACTTCATCCTGAATGACAGAGTTAGGCGCTGTCTTAAAAAAAAAATAGATAGGTAACATAAAGTTATTAAAAGGATGTTGACTATAAACTTCAGTAAAAACAAATGGTTTATGGCCAGGCACGGTGGTTCACGCCTGTAATCCCAGCACTTTGGGAGGCTGAGGCAGGCAGATTAAGGGGTCAGGAGTTTAAGACCAGCCTGGCCAACATAGTGAAACCCCATCTCTATGAAAAATACAAAAATTAGCCGGACGTGGTGGCACACACCTGTAGTCTCAGCTACTCAGGAGGCTGAGGCAGGAGAATCGCTTGAACCCAGGAGACGGAGGTTGCAGTGAGTTGAGATGGCGCTATTGCACTCCTGCCCATGTGACAGAATGAGACTCCGTCTCAAAAAAAAATGGTTTACATAAAGAATATGTATAAAAGTTCATTCACGGATTTAATTTTGTACTAATTTATGTAAACATTAATTGGTCATGTTTGCTAGAATTGGGTAGGAAGCTTGGCAGGATCAACATTTTTTCATA